CAGCCGTGATGTTTATATTGCATCACTATATACACATACATGCGTGTTTATTTTTTATTAAAATACATTATTCTCGTTAAAACATCCACAAATGTATTTCCATTTGGTTATTATTTTATTGAAGCCACTGCAGAATTTTTTATAGCCGGTGAATGGATGGAATGAATAAAGGAAACATCAGGACAATGTATTCCGAGTCGTGTAAATTGAATGACGAACTGAGTTGTTTCTATTAATATTGGATGAAACCGCATAATTCTCGTTTCTGATGTTAGTTAGGAATTCCTGTTGAATCGGCGGTCGTTCGATTAAATTTCATGCAGTTGAATTTCCAGAAATAATGCATGAACAGATTTTCATTCCGAAAAGTAATTGTTTCAAAAATTGATTGAAAAAAAATGAAAGATATAGAGTGCACATCGGAATAATTCCAACGTGTAGATTCGTATGACTATCTTTTAAACAACTACGTGAAGTTTTATTAAAGTATAAACTAAAGAGACGTACGGATGTCGAAAGAATATTCCAACCGGTGATTATACTGCACGTGTAATAAGATTTGAAATACGTGGTTTAAATTTTGAGTTACGCGAATACCAAATATCGTCTGAGCGACGAGCGAAGCTGAATAAAATTTTCACGTTTATTTCGATCCCATTGCTGTTATCATAATTCGCGAGTCACGCTGGCTGCTTTTATCTGCGATACCAGGGGGAAATCGTGTCTTTTAATCTTTTTGCAAATACGTTCCCGCCTCGCGTTCGGGATTATTTGAATATTTGAACACGGTTTACTCGGTTGCGATTGTAAAAACAGGAGGCGGGAAAAAAAGCTATGCGATGGGACGGAGAGAAATATAATTCCCCGTTTGACGATGCAAAGTTCAACGATGTTATATTAAAAACCATATACCGCTGAAACATTTCGCTGAGGGGATAATATTTAGTTCGCTATTACGCGAGGCGCACGATGCTCAATGCACTGATTATGCACGTCGCCGAAGATATTGTTCCCGGGAGGAAATTAAACGAAATAAAACCTCGCTGGATTGTGAGCTGAAATCCGCGGAAAAAAGAAATAGTGAGGAGCTACTCGAAAATCGTGTCCCGCTTATGAATCGGGCGGATTTAAATTGTCGTCCACGGATTCAATACGCGAATGGAAATTAGTTTTTGGGGGACGCGCCGATATGCAATCGGGAAGATAGTTGGGATTTGCGCTGCGCTATCCTTGCGGCTTTCTATCTGTTATTAGAATCGGTATTAAACGCGCACAATAGTTGCGAGATCGTTAACCGCCAATCGTAACAGATACACGTATGCACTGTGGGCAGGACATATTGTTAGCACGTTAATTGTTTCGATTTCAATGGGAGAGTCGCAATTATTCGGTATTGTCTTGATTGCTACGGAAAACGAATTATCGTCGTAAAACGATTTGTATAATATTTCGAACTCTCTGCGCAGAAATTCGTCAAATAAAATTCATTAAAGAGATCATCTACATTGACGTTTGTCGTAACTAATTTAATTCAATTTAATTGGGAAGTCGGCTGTTAAGCGATAGTCTTCGTACTTTACCTAATTGGCCGATACTGTTCGCAAACTTGTTCATTTCTTTTTATAACAGGAAATTGCGTCTAGGAGTAACGATCCTATCATTTTTCTCCAGTGAAAACTTTATCGCAATTTCGTCGTTTCGAATTTAATTAAATTGGGAATATGTGCGCTGCTGATTGCATTTTCTTACGAGTGAATAGGCTTCCAGCGATCTGCGAGGTTGTTTGCGAATTTTCCTTTGTGTCATTGAACATCAGGTATGTGCACTAGAGCGTTTGCTTAAACTCTCTCTCTCTCTCTCTCTCTCTCGTATGTTAAATTGTTTTGCTGATTTTGTACGAATTACGTACTTCAGAGAGGAGCGCAATGCAAAACAAAATTAGTTTACATTCTCACACAATCATAATAAGAATCACGGTTACGTTAAAAAAGATAAACTCGGGTAATGAAACTCAGTTGTTTGCAAAACACTGAATCACGGAAACAGCTAGCTATGGGTTCCGTTTATCGACGAGCAGATCCTGAATTCTCATCCATAGAACACGACCCGTCGCAACGTCTCGGGAACGGTGGTGGGTACGAATCGTGCATGTAGCACCCGTTACCGAACCTAGGAGCTGAACATTTCAACCAGTGCTGAATCCGTTTTGCAGTGGAACGGTAATTCCGTTCCCCGAGACTTAATCGTGGTGAAGCACGTGCTGCGACCGAAACAGCATCTACCTAGCTTGAATTTCAACCGAGCGAACCTCTCCCTCCCCCTCGCGTTTCCGTCTACCTTGCCGAACGGAAAGACGAACCATCGATCAAATTCGATGGTCTAACTTGTCACCGGTGACGGAGGAACTTCGGAAGTTGGTACACAATATTCGAACCTCTAAACTGAACTAATACTCGTAAACGCGGAGCAAAAGTGAAGAGAGAGAGTAAGATTGTCTAGCGGCAAACCGACGCCAGCCCCAACTGGGTACTGTAATCAGTCTTCGCTTAATGCCGATTTCGTGGTCCCAGTTTTCCAGGTTGTTTGGTAATGCGGTCGTCGAGATCCTTCGAGCGTGATAGTTCGACTCCGAAGGAACCAGCGAGCTCTATTCGTTTAATTTTTGGCTGGCAGCGAGATTATCGGAAACGTTTCGAGGGAAACTGAGTAACACCGATTGGAACTGAAGTCAAGGTCGTGATAAACGACTGGAGTAGGTACGTGATTTTAGGTAATCTCGAAGGTCCCGTGTCGAATTTGAGAAATCTCGTACGTAATAGGAATTGTGAAGAAGAGACAGACGAAACGAACGGGAAATATCGATCCGCGAACGGTGAAGGTGTTAAACCGAGTTGGCGCAAACACGACAATCGCGGTTCGAAAAGAATTGTTCCCGAAAGAAGTTCCGAGTCTCGGAAGACAAAAGATGGTTGAAAAAGTTTGGACTTATTCGCGTCCGGGAAGAGAGTGCCGGTAATTTAATCGGATGCGCGATTCGCAGCGAAACAAGCGGCAAACTTCGTAGACGTTCTCTTTTTATGATTGAGGATATAGCTGATAATCTGGGAGACTCGTTTAACGAAAAGAATTATCGAACGCTGCGGAGGAACGTTTTATAGCAATCAGTGTGTTTGATGAATAGCGATGATTGGAGCTCGAGGAGGAGTTGATCGAAATTTCAACCGATAATATATGAGAATCGAACTACCATTACTTTCGACACTCTCGGATTGAACGACGCTTTTATCAGTTCATTCCTATTCAGCCCGCGGTTCGGTAGACCGGCTTATTCATTCACGCTTCAATCACTTGGACGAAGTGATTAGGAAGCGACTTTAAGCTGCCGGAATGAAACAATAGTTAGCAGGATAATTGGGGTTCATTTGAATTCTCATAAAATGCTTTAGTAATCTTATTCGAAATTGAATCGCGCGTCCTTAAAATTAAAAGACCTAAGTATTCCTGACGTTTATTAGCCTGATGAGTGGCTTCTTATTTCAAAAACACTCATTCGCTGCTACAGACAATTTCTATTTGCGACGCGTTGACGAGCACTTCTTTGAAAACGACTCCTCGCGCTTTTACGCGTTTCCTGTCGTAACACGGCGTGTTTTAACCCTCACCTTTCCGTTTCTAAAGTGCGAAGACTCTCAAGAAGGTCTTCTTCCGCGGGACGATTGCGCTGTTTCTCTCGCATCCTCCCGCCGCGCAATCCGAAGAAGCGACTTTTACGTAAGCGTTTGTAACAACATCGCAATTTCACGCTAGCCTCCGGTAGTTACATCCGTATAAACATCCGAGAGACACTTCGCGCTGCAGTATATTTTTTTAAGTACCCCGGAAAGCGACTCGACATAGAAGCTGGAATAACAAATTGCAGACGCTAAATTGAAGTCCTCGGTCGAGATAGCCTGCATCCAGATAAATTCAAGCTGTGAACGCTGCGAACGACACAGAGATTTTTTCATCCGCTATATTCGATTTGATTAATAAAGATTTTCTATTACTGCGCAATATAGCTCAAACGAGCCGTATGACTTTTTCATGGCAGTTCTGCCAGCAAGCGGGTAGACGCTTTTTCGAATAGCCACCCACGATTAATGATCTCCATTTAAAGCGCGATGCGTAGATGGTCGGTGAAGCGCATTGCGTCAAACGAGATTAAAGAGCGAAACGGGAGACGTTTGGACAGCTTTATCAACCGAGAAAAATGCGGGGCTCGCTCGGTTTTTATTCCGTCCGTTTCCCATTCCTCGTGAAATTTCGCTTCTGTCCTGTGAAACCGATGCTTAGCCCTGTCAAAGGGAATCCGTATGGAGCATTGTTGCTTCCGACTTCGATAATTCGCCGAAATAACGTTTCACGAATGCTCTTTTATCTTTTGCTATCCTCTACGGTTAATTTCGAACGGTCGGAAGAACAATGGCAAACACGGTGGAGCTAGGGGCGAAGTTTTCAATTGAATCCGTGGGTCACCGCCCTTGCCGCTTCGGAAGAACAGTGCCGGAGAACATTTTCTCTGCACCAACAGTGAATGAAATATGCAGAACGCCTACCATCTTCCTTGGTGTAAAACGGGCGCGTCGGGAGAGGGGTTAATTGCAAGGAAATACGATAAAGCAGACGGGAAGCGTTTCGTCGAGACGTTGGAAAATTTATGCGAGCCGCGAAGAACCGGATCGGTGGAGCTGAATTTGGATCGCGAGGGGGAGGGGACGTCGAGCAGTTTTCCGAACCGAAACGTACTCGCGGAACGCGTACTTCAAGGATTCCGATAATCCGTGACGTTCCAAGTATCTTGACAATTTTCGTGCCTTGGAATTCCTCCCTTGGGACGTTTACTCCAATTCGGTGATGATCTCTAAACTGCGTTACGACAAATACGAGACAGAGTGTGTTATTAGATCCTGTTTAAAATTTGAAGGAATGCGAAGAAGGTGCGCACTGAACGAGAGTAGATGGTTAGAAAAGAAGTTGCATCTTTATTACAGTGATGACGTACGTATATGTTACAGTACACAGTGTGCGGTACATCTGAGATGTTTCACTGGACATCGACGACCCGCACAAACCGATTGTTATCGATTCCGTCCAACGTGGTCTGTCCCATCGTTGGTCCGTCGCAATCCCATATTCTCTCTCTCTCTCTCTCTCTCTTTCTCTCTGTCTCTAGTAACGAGACGACACAGTCTCTCTCTCTCTCTATTTATCACCTGAAACTGCAATTTGCTGCATATTACGCAACACGCGGAATCTAATTTCCAATGTATTCGCTGATAACATCCGTGTGGTTAGCCTATAGTACAGCGAGAAGAGATGCGATAGTGTCACAGTGTATCCATTGTTTCCGACACGGTGACACTATCGACTATGCTCGAAGGTCGCGAACTCGAAGAAACTGCGTTTCTCTCGACTCACGCGTAAAACGTTGATTCGAGAACCAAGAATCGATCCTAATGTGAACTATGTTTTCCTAAATGAAGAGTCGAAAGATCGCCGAACACTGTTATCCTCCTCGGATTCTTCTCCGAGTTTCGACGATTCTCTTTGCAAACAACGATTCGAACTCTTGTTCTTATTTACAAATTAGAACGCGTCTGTCTCTATCAACGATTTCTGAACGACGAGGCGCAATTCAATGTCCGACAGGATTTACTGGCCCCCTTACGAGCGTAAATTCAAGATCGCACTTACGCGATGCGACGTCGCATTGTTACAGGGAGAACGGTCTGCCGAGCCATTTAGAAAACACAATGCATCGTTCTGCAAGTCCGAACAGAGATCCCTGCCGTGGCCATGACGTTCAGCCGTAAATCGTTCAACGAAAATGACGCACGGCGATCCTTTGAGTTATCATGGCCGCGGAACGATTCACTTGGACACACGCACACACTTGCACAGGTCCCCGCAGTATCCTTCCTTTCGTCACTGGATAAAGCTACATCGAATAGAGTTAAGGATTCGTAGAAAATCACATATAAAATGCTTGATTAACTAGGTCGTCCACTTGGCGTTTGCACCGACACGCGCATTTGTTGGCTCGAAGGTCATATCCATTGAGACTTTTCTATATCTTCCTCCTACGTTCGTACGGTCATTTTTCTTTTCGAGAATTCAGTAAACTGCCGCGAGTCAGGAATGTTTCGCGTTTGCCGCCGGATTTGGGTATGTCCGCTTCAAACGTTCGAAACTTCCACGAGTCGGGAGTTTTTTGACTTATCTCATACATTCAGATTGGTATTCCCTATGCTGTTGATGAAGTTCGAGTTGTGACCCTCTTGGCTGGCCTGTCTGGCAGCGTGACCCGCTTCCCCGCTCTGTATACTGAAATGCCTGTAAGAAATGTATTCCGGCGGGATCGGCTGCTCCCTCTTCACGGTCTCCCGCTGCTTCTTCACCTTCAGGTAACCGAGGACAGACACGAGGAGCAGGAACACGACGAATCCCATGCAACAGCCGACGATCAGACCCAAGCGTCTGGTTAGGAAGTTGCTCACGCTACCTACGTCGCCCATCGACGAACCGTCGCTGCTGATCACCGCCTCCGGTGCTTCCAGTGTCTTCACCTCGGTACAGCGACTCGTCGGCGTGTCTACCATTTCTATATCCGGCGAGGCATCGAACGTCTCGTGGTTCGAAAAGTTGAACTGGTCCATGGCGTCCTCCTCGAGGCGTTGGTTCATCCAGTTGCCCAGACCAAACACGCAGATTAGGTAGCGGGTGCTCGGAGACAATTTCGACAGTTTCGTAGACCGTGAATTTGCCTCGAGTATCTTCGCTCGTACCTGAAATTTTTTTAATCAACAGCTCGACGTTATTAAATCGAAGTAGGATTTATTCGTAAAACTGGTTGAAATAGAATAGTGTTTATTATCTGAGTCTGTACCTCGTCGACGTTTTCCATGATGTGGTAAGCCACCTGGTAACCGCGAATACCAGAGTGGTTTCTGCTCTGCCAAGACACCAGAACAGAGAACGGTTGAATGTCCTGGATCGCTAGTTTCAAGACGAGAGGCGCGGAACAGAAAGCGTTGGGATCCAACTCGAGGAACACCAACCCTCTTAATTCCGGTGGCTGTTGGCACTTGAGTAATCCGCTGTCCATGTCGTTCATTCGCAGCCCACCCCCTCGATTCCGTCCCACGCCGCCGCCCACCAGTTTCTGATGATCGCGCAGCCACTCCCAAAGCTCTTGAGACTCGCAATCGCAGAGCAGCGGGTTCTCTGCAGCCGGAAAAACCGTTTAATTTCAGGAAACCGCACTTCCTGCTAATAGTAGCGGTTTACAATAATACGTTACCTTCGGCTCGGAGACTTCGTATTTGCGTTTCTAGAGGTCGAAAAGCGTTCAACGGTAGATTCTCCAAATAATTCCTACTGAGGTCGAGGATCCTTAATTTCTTTAACGGTCTGAACGCGTCCGGCGAGATCGACGATATCCAATTTCCGTACAGATGAAGTTCGGCGAGGTTCTCTAGATGTTGGAATGTACTCTTGCCTACTCCGCTGATTTGATTGTACGAGAGGTCCAGTACTTGCAAAGCTTTCAGGTCAGGTGGGAAATCTTCGAGTTCCTTCAAACGGTTATGCGTAAGGTTCAGTAGCCTGAGGTGTTCCAAGCCCTTCAATCTCTCCTGAGGTAACAGTTCTAGCTCGTTCATGCTCAGATCCAAAGTAAGCAACTCGTACAGGCTCCGGAACGCGCTCGGAGATACTCGCGAGATCATATTGTTGCCCATGAACAAATGCGTCAGCGCCGGGAAAGCTTCGAAATCCTGGCTAGTGACGATGGTCAGGTTCGTCCCGGATATGTGTATCTCTTGCAAAGACGGATATTTGGCCTTCGAGCTGAGCTCGTGTATTCTGATCAGTGGGTTCGCAGTCACGTTCAACCAGGCGAGATTCGGGATGTTCTGCGCGGAGAGCGCGACCGCGGGTATTTGGTGAAATTTGTTGGCGGCCAGTTCGATCTTGCGCAACATGTTCGAGCGGGCGAAGAAGTTTGCCGGAAGGGCGGTCAGGTGATTGTGACTGAGGTCAACGGATATTAACCGGGACAGATTCACGCCGGCGAAACCAGAAAGGGTCATGATGTAATTACCGCGTAGATCGAGCTCCCGCAGGCTAACCAATCCGTTTAACCGCGACATGTCCACGTTCAGGATTACATTGTTAGCGAGGGACAAGAACTCGATCGTAGTTGCGTTCGAGAACACGTCGTACGGTACTTCCTGGAATCGGTTACCGTCGAGCTTCACTTCTTTCAACGAGTCCAGCCCGAGGAACAGCAGACTGGGCATCGCCCGAAGGAGGTTGTTGCTCAGCAGCAGTTTCGCTAGATTCTTGTTCTTCGAGAATATCTCCGACGGCATTCTATAGATCTGAGAGGACTCCATGGTCAAGTGTTGAAGCGATGGTAGGCCGTCCAATGAGTTACCGTTGATCTGACTAAAATTGTTGTAAGATATCCTGAGAACCCTCAATCCTGGAATGTCCAAACGATCCAACGCGGACGCGGTTAAATGGTTACGTTCCAAGTTCAGTTCGTAGAGATTGTTCAGTCCCTTGAATGCGCCGTTCTCGATCACGCTGACGGTGCAGTTCTTCAAGTTCAGTGTCCTTATTGGCAAACCCTCTTGAAAGATCTTGTCGTGGAGCACGTTCAGATGGTTGTTAGCCAGATCGAGAACGCGAAGTCGTTTGAGCGCGGTTAGCGCGTACGGGTCTAACCGTCGTAAACCATTGTCTTGTAGATAGAGTTCCTCCAACTCGTGCAACTCCGAGAACGTTCTCGCCGTCACGTGACTCAGACGGTTCATACTTAGCTCGAGAAACTTGAGCGCCTGCATCGGTTGAAAAGCGGTGTCCTCGATTCGCGAGATGGAGTTATTCGTCAGATATAATCGCTCGACCAGCAACAGGTCCCGGAACAATGGAGCCTGGAGCCGGGTTAATCTGTTGTGACCGAGCCACATGATTCTGACCGACGCCTGACCCCTTAAAGAGTCGTTGTGCAGGACGCCGAGTCCGTTGTTGTCTAACTGAATAGAGACCAACGAGCTGCCGCTGTTCCCATTTTGTCCGATGTCGTTCGACACTTGGAACACGTCGCCCAACACCGCCAGCAGATTACCCTGAAGATTCACGTGCTGCAGGCTGTGGAGGGATCTCAAAGCGCCGGTCTCCATGTCCGTTATCGCGTTATTCTGCAGATGTAGCTCGAGCAGGGACGGCAAAGGCGCGAAGACGCCTCGTTTCACTTCCGTAATTTGATTGTCCTGAAGCCGTAGCTCTCTCAATGACTTCGCTTTCGCGAAAGTTCCCACCTCCAGTTCGCGGATGTTGTTCCCGTCGAGGGACAAGGTTGAGAGATTCTCGCAGTGCTCGAGAAAGTCGCGCGGCACTTTCTCGATGTAGTTCCCGCTCAAATGTAGCTGCGCTAGTTGGCTCAACGTGGCGAGACCCCGAGCGTCGATCCTCCTAATTGCATTCTGCTGAAGATACACCACCGACAAACTTGTACTACCGGCGAACGTCTCCGCGGGTATTTCCAGTATGTTGTTCTCGGTTAAGAACAGTTCCTTCAATTCCGGTAACTTGGAAAATACACCGCGGATATAGTGGATGTGATTGTGGCTGAGGTCGATCGATCTCAGCCTCTGATTCGCTCTGAACGTGGATACGTCCAGCGAGACGATCTTATTATGGCTCAGGTCGATCGATTCCAAATCGATCAGCGATATGAACGCGTCTTTGTCGACGAACTCGACGGCGTTGTAGTAGAGGGACAGAGTTTTCAAGGACGGACAGCAACGGAAACAATTGAGCGGGATTTTTTTGAAGTTATTGCTACTCAAGTCGAGGAAGTTGAGAGCATCAAGCCTGGAGTATCCGTCCTCCGGTAGCTCGGACACTTCGTTCCAAGCGAGTCTGAGTAACGTCAAGTGCTCTAATCTCCTTAATGACGTCATGGGGAACACTCTGATCTTGTTCTCAGCCAGGTTCAGGTCGGTCAAAGTATCCTCAAGGCCGGCGAACGCGTACTCCGATATCTTTACTATCTGATTTCCCTTCAAGTTCAGCTTGATCAGAGAGAGCCCGTAGAAACTGTAACTTGGAAGCTCGTGCACCAGGTTCGCCTCCAAGTCCAGGGCTTTCAGCGTGCTCAGAGTCGCCATTGCCTTCTGTGGCACGTGGGATAGTCTACCCGAAACGAGCGCCAGGGATTCCAAACTTTTGCTCAGGCGTTTAAAGGCATCCTCGCTTATCTCACGGATCGCCGAGTGGGATATCTGTAGATGCCTGATCTGAGATCCGGCTGGAAACGCTGCTGACCGAAGTTCCTCCACCTTTCTGTCTAACTCGTAAACGCTTAGTGATTGAACTATAGCCCCTGGAACAAAAATCGTAATACTTGCTATCTAGAGATCCTGGCTCCTCCTCAGTAAACCTAATTAGAATAATTCATATGCTATTTATCTCCAGTTGGGGATCGCAGAGACGGTAAAGAAATGGAATTAAAGCGTGATATTCTAAATGAGAATAGTACACAGTCATTTCGCAGAAATGCTCAGCGAGATGAACTTGCAAGATCCCTTCATCGAGAATACAATCCCACCATATTCAGGCAATTATTCCCGTCCCACTGTAACACAATACCAGCTTCAGAGCACCGGGTCTCCAGAGAAGGGGCAGGAAAATCCCTGGTCGGCGGAAACCTAAATCCCTTATTTATCCTAATGTATTCTCTGCTCGTAAAAGCTCTCGCGGTACGTGGGTACGTACCTTCCCCCTCGGCGGCGTGTATTACACCGGACAAAGCGGTCCTGAGGGACTCCTCGGTTGCCCCGGCGCATTCCAGGAACAGTCCGTCCTCGAAATTGTAACAGGGACAACCGGGTATCGTGTCCGGCGGCGGGCATTTCGCGCTCCTAGCCTCCTGGGCCGCCATGCACGCCGCTAACACCACCGAGTAGATGAAACGAAATCTCTCCCGACTACCGCGAGTCTTCTTCCTCTTGTCTCCGTCACGCGACGAGCCCGAGTCCCGCAGCTTGCGTCTCGTCCGCGGCCACGTCGTCCACATATTATTATTATCGCGCCGCACTGTTCCCGGCTCGTCCCGATCCGATCATCGTTTCTTACGAAGACCCTCGGTGCTGCCTCCGCGCTCCTGGGAACACAAGACCATTCATCTTACGTACTGTCTCATACAATAGTGATACATCAAATGAAAACGTTTCTGTACTCCGGATCGTGTTATCAACGTCTGAAAGTATTTAAATTATTAAGCTGCGTCGCAGAATTTTCTGTCGCCTTTAAAACTTTCGAACGAAATTTCGATTTCTATCCAAATAACCGAACTATTGTCGTGTTGCAAACAGCTTCAAATATTGTATCAGGCCGAGGGTGGTTGAAATTTCACAGAGCTGAATAATAACTACACCCGGTAGAGCGCAACTCTGGACAAAGGCAAAGTGTATCTTGCGCCTTGTGAAACCATCCAGTGCTCAGCTAATAGACGTGCTTAAGTATACGTCCGTGGTGGCCTTAAGCCAAATTCTTGCCCTACCCTCAAGTTTCAATTTTTAATGCAGCGCGCTTACTCGTGTTAACGGCTTATTGTTAGTCGCGGCATTAGATAGTTCCCGTTTCATTTACGTCGTGCTCGAAATTTTCTCCACGTCGAAAGATAAAAAGGAAAGTCCTTATAATGAAATCTATTTAAGTTTTTTATCTTTATGGAAACAACCAAATTCATTAGAAAATTAAAGAAATTATTTTATGAGTTATGTACTACGATATGGTATGTGCAATAAATTGTTGGAACTGCGATTGGCACTGCGGTAAACGATTTTTGTATCCGTATCGCGGCAAAGGATCACGCGTTATCGACTCACGAATGCAAATTCTGCGTGCTTCGTGACGATATTAACGGACTCGCTGCTTGCTTTCACTTTTATCCCGCGTATTCCAGATCGTTCCCTTTTTCTTACCGATAATCTGTGCAAGTGAAAAAAATCGCGCGCTCGTGCGTTCTAAATGGATGGCTGGTGTGCGTGAAGAAATATTCCGAGAAAATGTTAATTCGCTGATACCGTCGATAAAAAACAGTCGGCGTTATCCACGCACGCCAACCTCCCTTCCATTGCGTAGTTTTGCAACGCGTGGACGCGCGTACAGAGGGGTAGATTCAACGATTAGTCGATGTTTTATTATACCGCACCTCGTACAACGCGGAAGTTATTGGGACACGGAATATTTACTCGAGGATCTCTTTAAAACGAGCAATTAATGTTTTGTAATTAACGTTCATTTAACATTACCATTCTCTGATTTTATGTGTTATTACATTCGAAGCGGAGAGAGGGAAATTGAGTTACAAGTATTATCGAATATTGATATTGTGACGCTCATTTTAAGGTAATTATAACTAATGGGCGAACATTTGGACGAGTTTAATGTAAACATATTTTACAATTCGTGGTGTATGTCAGGAATACAATGAAGGTTTTAATACATTATACAATTCATACGTTGTACGATATCCTACTTGTGGCGTCTGATGTGTTCTCTACATATATCAAGCACGGGTTCATGCACTCTCTTTTTCGTACAAAGGATCCTGATCCCTGAGATCAGAATCATAATGTAATGTCTAGTGATAAATTTTCGGAGCTTGTCAAACGACGACCGAACACGATCTCCAAAAATTTTGACCAGTATAGTTTGGTAGGTTTTCTCATTCTTATGTTTTTTATCTGAAACATTGCAATAATAATAATCGGTTAAGCTGAGTGCTTATTATTAGACTACAGATTTAACATATTAATAGAAGAATCGTATAGACAGATGATGAAGAATGAATTTCAATTATAAAAATATAGCATATTAATTAAATCCATATAAAAAATAAAAATTATAAATGAAAAAATTCATTTCTTTAAACGACAGCATAAATATTTTATTTTTCATGAAGATTCGTAATCTTCGTATAATTCGAACTTAGTTCGAGAAATTCTGTTTTTCTTTTCTGACATATCTCTGAAATCGAGGGTAGATTGCGTAAAATTGTTTACTCGTACCAGATCTGAGGATCACGTTATATTTTTATAATAGATTACATCCACTGCGGGAGCGAGCAGGTCACGTGTATAGGCATGTTCAGGAATACGAAGTCGTGTTGTACGTAAGTTCCCGTGCGGTTACGTTCTACATCGAGTTAGGGGGTGAACAAGTTTGTTAGAGGATTGGTGCTTAGCCGAGCTTCGCTAGGTCAGATGACGGTGAAGTGGAAAAATCAATATTTTGCGCCCAACCGTTCCATCGTCGAGCATTTTAATTAATGCATACGTACGTATAAACGCGAGTTTGTAATCATTACTCGTCGCGTGCGACCTGATTACGCATTGCGACGGTGTTTATGTATGCCGGCTATCGTTAAACATACGTTTTTCTGTTCACCAATCAAGGAGAGATATTTCTAAAGTAGAAACGTTTGCGAAGAAGATTTACTCCTTTTATCGCGTGCCGCATCGGTCCCGGAACTCGAATAATCCTTTTTCAGTGCATTTCGCGATGTTTATACGAACCAACTCGACATGGGGCTGTCGACAGCCATTCGAAAATACGGTAGGAAACGCTGCCATTTCGTAGAACAGCAATAAATCGGTTGCCATTAATTCGCGATCAGGAATCGGCACGTCACGGAAATCTATCTGTAAAACTTCCTCTGAAGAGCGTAGACCGAGAGACGGTTAGAAGTTTCCGAACTGTAAAAATTTCTTTAAGGAGATCTATCTCAAGTTTGCAACCGGAGACAATAGGATTTTCCATGCAACGCCTGTCGCTGATCACAATTTAGTTGCATCCGAAACGTACATGTACTCCACGTGTATGGCGGTGCATCCTCGTGACTATTTTAATGGGCATGTTATTACATTCCTCGTTTCGCTGACTATTAATGCTCTGAAAGTGGTACAGGTGTCGTGGCGATACGAGGAGAGGAAACCGACCTCTCGTCGTCGTCGTCGTCGCTTGTTTCCCACGACGAGGAAGTACGGGGACGGCGACGGACCGAAATATGGCAGGGGTTTAATAAAGGACACGAGTCGCCCCGTCTGTGAGACGCAGGCACACATAGCGAGCATTGCGAGAGACACTCGTGGCGCATTTAATTAAGCGTCGCTGCGACGCTGAATCTCTAAACTGCATTCACCGAACTCGAAACGCGCTCAGACGAAATTGAATATTTTCCCTGCCGTTACATATTTCAAGCTGTTAAACGCATCCAGGTTGAAAGAACCGTTCGCGGCCTTAACCTTATTCCCAGGATTTCAAGACTTGCTCGAGCCTCCCGTTTACGGAACAGCGAAGAATCGAGAGATTGATAAATATTGACAGGAAGTACTGCGACGGCTCTACTTTCTTTAAGCCGTAACTCCTCTAAGAGGAGAACATTTTTGAAACGATTTTAAGGATGTATTGGCTATACAGTCAATCCCAAAAGTTTATGTACCTTAGAAAAACGCATTTCTTATAATTAAAGAGAAATCAGACGTCGGAAGAATAATGCTAATAATAAATAGCTACGTGCTAAAAAGTATAGAAGAAAATATCCAATTNGTGCATAAACTTTTGGGATTGACTGTATAGCCAATACATCCTTAATATATCTTCAACCATCTTTCGATAGACCCGCGTATTTCATCTCGCTATGATGAATATTGTCCTGGAGGTAAACCTATCGATCCTTGTAGAGAATGTAAATAGGACGGGATCGATTCTTAAAAGGAACACGCTATGGAGAAACATTTTGTCTAAGCGTAACTTGTCAAATAATTTTTGTTCTGGCGTTAAGGTGCGAAAGAGGTTTTAAGAAAACAGACGTAGAAGTAGTTAGTCCGAGCAGCGCGGCGTGGTGAAGAAGAAAATCCGGAGGCTACTATCGGAACGAGGCGTAATTTCTATTTCGGTCATAGATTTCCGAAGAACCGAAGTGCACTTGAGCTTCCATTACCCGGAGTTTCGCGAAGCAGAATTGACTTTGCGTTGTAGGAGCAAGTTCCAAACTGATCGGAATTAGAAAACAGGGGAAAGAGCCTCTCACATTCATGAGAGCGGAATTCATTACTGGGAACTTCGATCGACCGACATAAGCCGCTCGATCTCACTGGCTCTCTACCATTGACACCCGTTGACGAATTTCCGTTCGTAAAAAAAAAAGAAGAAATCATTCGAAAGACACTGGGATCAGTTTTTCTCTCTGCGAGCCCACGCTGGTCGGATCACAAAAGTTTGACTCGGGCGAAGATTCCCGAGAAATTTGCGCTTAACTCTCATATTTCTGGTACTTCGATCCCCTTTACCGTGTTCCATCGTTTCATCTCTTATTGATCCCGCGCGGTTGAATCCCACGAGCGATCCCTCCCCACAATACATGACTCGCGCGCTCATCTTTGCTACTTCAGCACCGCGAGTGCGTCGAGTGCCGTGCAAACTTCTCTCCGTTATACTTCTCGATGCTCGGTGAACTAGTTTCACCAACAAGGATAGATTATTACGTATCCCGCCTACGCGAAATGACTTACAACGTTTGCGCAATCAGGCCAATTCGCCGAGTGAACCGATTCTCATGCTCCACTGTTAATGAACAGCTCAGTAAGAATCCGCGCTCTTACCTACCGAATTAAAAATTCGCGTATCATCAGAATTGCTCTTTTCAGAAAGAGTAATGAATTCCTATAAACGAATTGACTGCAATCTAATTAAAGGTAATAAATAATTAAAACACGGAGTAGTATTCGTACGAATAAAGTAAGAACGGATCTGTAGAGAATTCCAATACACGTAACTTTACCGAAATCCTCTTTTCCGTGGATCCTTCGCTGGAACGGGCTCATTCATTGTATCCACTTGAACGTTCGACCGCGGACGTTCGCGCACAAGCTTCTCAATTACTTTCCGATCAAAGCTCGCAAGCCGAGCAGGTCCGCCGTAATCCGGACAGACTCCATACGATTTGGCCGATCCTACGGGGATCGGAGCCATCGATTCTCCCATCGCTGCCGGAACGAGAGTCTGCGGGGCTGCGGTCCGGAACGTTTTGGTCCATTAAGGCCGCAGGAAAATTGAATTCCGGCGCGACAGCGAGCGCGCAAGCTCGGATTAAAT